CCCCAAAACCCCAAAACCCCAAAACCCCAAAACCCCAAAACCCCATGAATTGTTTATCGTAGTCTAATCATCGTATAAATTATATTATTACTTTTGCTCTATAATAATTAATTCTAAAAAGGTTAACATTACTACTAAAACTCTAGCAATGAACGACGACATCTACAATGCATTCGCAGACGCATACGTTAAGGAGACCTTAGGTCATAACCCCCGAGGCAAATACAGCCCAGTTGACACTACCAAGGGTTTATTCGGTGGTCTCTCAAAAGAAAACGATCTAGAGGCGATTCCCAAACTGAAAAAGAAGAAATTGTTTTCAAAAGCCAAGATAATTTCCACCTATGACAACATCAAGAACAAATTAATCAGCAGCGAGCAGAAATAGGCTCAAAAGCAGTTAAAAAATCAACAGAAAATCATCAATGAAAACAACGCAGCATTCAGCTTTTTCCAATTAAATTCAGGCAAGGATAATGGAGAGGGTTCTGGCAGAAATATGACTAAAGCATTTGTTAGTTTTGCAGTGGCCGGATTCTTCTTGCTGATGGCATTATTCAATCTTCCTTCACTGGTACTTGCTCCGCAAATGTTCAGCTTAATGTTCACTATTGCTATGATTAGTGCCATCGTAGGCATTGCTTTCATGAATGGGCCTTCTGAATACGCTAAAAAGTTAACTCTCAGAATTAATATTATCGCATCAGTAGTAATGATGGCCTCCATTATCTTAAGTCTGTATTACTCAGTCATCGATAGAAGTTATTGGATGTCTCTATTCTTCTGCTTTGTTCAGGTAAATTCCTACATCCTAATATTTTTAATCTAGTTCAATGCAGTTATTCTATTCTTCTTTAACACTTTCCCAGCTGGTAGAGCAGGATTCGATGCAGCCAAGGGTATGGCTAACACCATGCTAGCTCAGAGATTTAGATGAATATTCAAATATTCTAGTTAAATAAATATACTGTGATTTGCCCTCAAGTGTTTTAACTAAATGTTTAATAATATTTGTGCAATCGTGTTAACTCAATATGATCAATTTCGACTATTGGGGTTTTGGGGTTTTGGGGTTTTGGGG